CCCCCCCCCCCCCCCCCCCGTTCAACATTATTATTATTATTTCTTGTTTGAATAAGCAGGGGAGGAGATGAGGAGGAGGAGGGTGGTTGGTGAAGAAGAAGGGAACTATTATTGGTCTATGCAGGTGTATATCTTCTTCTTCTTCTTCTTTCCCTCTCTCTCCTCTCAATTTCATTCATATCTTTTTGCAATTGGACGGCATTGTACTTTCCCATGAATGTGTACTGATCTGAGAGGATGATCAGCCACACTGGGACTGGAACACGGCCCAGACTCCTACGGGACGCAGCAGTGGGGAATTTTCTGCAATGGGCGAAAGCCTGACGGAGCAATGCCGCGTGGAGGTAGAAGGCTTTGAAATTGCCGGAGAAATTGCCCGTTATTATTGTAGTATACAGCTTTATGCTTAAACTCGCCTTCCAAGACCCACTTTCTGCTCATACATGTTTGCCGCCTTCTGTTAAGGCTGAAGGACCCTCTGACCAGCCTTGGGAGGATCAACCATCAGCTGAGCCTGATTACCGGCTTGCACTCCAAGAGTCCACACAAAAATGGACTGCTAATTCCCTCCTTGCACTCCTTTCGAGTCCACACCAAAATGGACGGCCCTATTGGCAAGAGCTCAACTTCAACCTCTCCTTTCCTCCTCAACTTGTTTGATTTGTAGCTGCTACCTCTCATCCATAGTGTCTCTTCAGGAACCACCGAAGGATATCTAACCTTCCATTCACACCGAACCCTTCGTCCAAGACCTTTCCTGTGTTCTCTTTTAACCCATCATTCACAGCTAAAACTAATAACAATAGCCTCCCCCAACTGCCTTGCCACTCAAGACTCACTGTCACGGGCACGAAACCCTATGCCCAAGACCTTCCCTCTGTCCTCCTGTAACCAAACCTTCCAGTCTATTTCTTCAGGTTCACATCTTTGCTGAAAAGTCCTCTCCCAAGAATCCGATCAGCCCATGGGCGGAAGAAAGTTAGAACATAATGCACGCACGCACAAACAGAACTCGGAAAAAACTCCAAAACGACCGCAACAAGCATCAACTTGAACACGCACGCACAAACAGAACTCGGAAAAAACTCCAAAAAACACGCAACAAGCATCAACTTGATCAAACAGCGAAAACTCAGGCAGACTCAGGCTCAAAGCAGAGAGTACCGATGACTTGATTGTCTGCGTCAACTTCTTGAAGAAGAAAGTGTTGAAAAAATGGATCCGCTCTTTCAACTCCGGTGAAATCAACACAAAATCCTTGTCTTCGAAGTCAGCAACCAGATCAGTCCTCTGCATATACCTGCACTTGTATATACATGAAAAGAGGATATTTGTCAGCAAAGATATCCACAATCAAATTTGGATTGGATTCGAAATTGGATTGGATTCGAAACGGTCCTACATGATAAAGTGAAGAGGCTGGGTTTAAACACAAGAACTTCTTTCTTGCAGCGTATCCACGAGGTCAGCACAAGCATATTTATTATTCAACATCAAACATTTTAGCATCCGAACAAAAGGAAAGTGACAACTTGCTCAACACCGAAACTAGCTTCATCCAAAAGTGACGATTTGCTCAACACTGGAACTAGCTTCATCCAAAAGTGACAACTTGCTCAACACTGAAACTAGCTTCATCCTCAACCCAAACTCAAGTTCACACTGACGACACTCAAGCGAGAGAGAAGAAACATGGTAACCGACCAGACGTCCGGCCCAGGTCCCAGACAGTCCAGAACAACATGTCCGGGTCCGGTGTCCGGTCCGTGATGTCCAGTGTCCGGTGTCCGGTCCGTGATGTCCAGTGTCCGGTGTCTGGTACGTGATGTCCGGGTCCAGTGTCCGGTCTGTGATGTCCGGGTCCGGTGACTGGTCCGTGATGTCCCCCACCCCACCCCCCTTTTTGTTTTTTGGTCCGGAGTCCGGACATTGTTGACCCCCTGACACCGGTCCAGATTGTCCAGGTCCGGGGGTTTCCGGGTGTCCCGTGATTTCCGGATCACCGGACAGTCCGGACTGGTGCAGACACTAGTTCGGAAGCCTCCAGTGTCCGAGTCCGCGGTTACCATGAGAAGAACTCTTCACATGAAAACAAAATGGATAAGGGGTTGCAAAGGAGCGCCAGAAGAACTCTTCAAATGGAAACGACATGAATAAATCAATTACTGCAAGAGGTCAAATACGAAAACAGCATCAAGTCATGAATGAACAAAAAGGTTGTGAAAGCAGGCCGAGATAGTTGCCCGCGAAGGCCATGGCTGTGGAGTAGTCGTGTATATACCTTTCTGCGTGACCTGGAATTGACGGGGATGGTTATGATGTGGAAGATTGTGTCTTTGCGCACATCTCAATGATTCCCTGTGCGTGGTGGTCATGAGTAGAGGAGAGCTCTTCTTCTTGTTTTCGATGCTTTACACACACACATAGAAAACAGAGTTGGAAGCATAGTAATGGGAGGGCCTGGAAGGAAGACAGAGATCGGGGAATGTACTGTTTTTCCCCTCGTATCAGCCAAGCCAGTACACCTGGTCGCGGAGTAATCAGTGCTGGGGTGGGGTGAAGTACTCATCTTGGGGCTTCACCATCAGGCAAGCCTTAGATTGTGTGTTCAATTCTTGTATTGGACATGCACACAGAGAGAAGGATAATGAGTGAGTTGAGGGCAGAGAATTGAAAGAGGAGCTGGCGAGGTGAAGAAGAGGATGTAGTGTCAATCCCATACTTCCAAGCATGAAGCTGCAAGTATAGGCAATTACACGGGTGTGCACGCACGACACTGCGCCCACGTGCTCAGCCGCCATCTGCAGGTGCAAGTGTGTCCGATAGCGCTTTCCTTGTGGGATCTCCGACCACGTTTTTTTCTATGCATGTGTATATGTTTTCACTGACCAAGATCGGAAATAGCTTCACTGGCCACAGCGTTGATTATGGGTTAGGCCCCAAACTCTAGACCGGTGGATACCCTGGGGAATCAGTGGTACTATACCTAGGCTCCCAGTTAAGGATTGTTAGATATGCAGCACAATGCGTCTACCTCGTGGCACAGGCAGTCAACTGTCAAGACTCTGACAGCAAACGGCCACCATGCCAACTTGATGGCCTCTAAGAGCGGTCACGGCGGCATCTCCCATCCATTTTTTCCGTGGGAACGACCAAAATCCGGAGCTCGTTGCACCCTTCCCGAATAGCAGATCTTATAATGAGTAGGATGTAGGAAGACACCAAGTTAGATCTCCAATCAGTTACCACTGACGGATGGTCGAAACAACAGGTCTTGACAAATGTGTGAGGATTGAGCCTTCAAGTAGGGGCCTTGCCATGATGTACATGTTCTGGGCTAAGGCCCCAGCAAGCCTCGTGCCCGCCCTAAGTGAAGGCGGGCCAGCAAATCAACAAGAGCCCCCTTAGCCAACATTTCACGAAGTGCGGTCCATACAGTTGCAGCACGCCAGTTGGTTGAAGTGCACCGAGTCTCGGATTTCAGCAAATGCTGAAACCCCAGGGCCTCTGAGTTAGTTAGGCCCTGGGCATTCGAATGTGAGGCCGACAATGCATGCTGGGTATAGAGGCCGAAAATGCMAAAGGGAAATCGGCCCACTATCTGAATCTGGCCGCAGGCCTTGATGAAGGAGGCGCGGCCCAACTGTATCGGGCTGGGTTCAGCCTCTGGGTCCCGGTCACAGGCTGAAGGGTGGCCGCCCACACGCTGCACTGGCATATAGGCAAGCAAGGCGAGTGGGCAGGGATCTTGGCCAATGCGGGCATTGCGGGCACGCTGCGCGGATGCATGTGTGCTGCGCTGTGCAGAGCTGCGCTGCGCTAAGGTGAAGCAGGCTAGCGCTAGGCGGTAGGGCGCTGCCTGCATGCAAGGCACTGGCGGCCATAGCCGGGCCGCATGAGGGTGCAGGGGAGGTGAGGGCGAAGGTGGTTCTTCGGAGGTGAAGGACGCTGTGTGGGTACAAGGGAGAGTGTGGGTGAAGAGGACACGTACCTGGTGGAGGTGGAGGTCGGCATTGGTGTTGACATCATCACTCGCTGGTAGTCAAGTTGTCTGGTTGCTTTCATTGCTGTAGTTGTAGGCTAGGCTGTAGAGTAGATAGGGCGCCTGGCGCCATTCACAAGAGAGCTACATTTGGGTTATGCTGTTGGTGTTGCCCTGTTGGGCATGGACATCAACTCACGATTCTTCTGTATCATTCTCAATTGGATGGTTACTCGGTTCCATTGTGCTATCTGCTTTGGCTTGAACTACTTGGACTTCAGTGTGATTTTGCATTCTGGATTTCTGTGCTTCGTCCATATTCATGTTCCTTGCAAATGTAAGTCAAGCTGGTCACCTACCTCGGGACATGGTCAATTGTGATCCATACACTTTCATGAATTGCTGCCATTTTCCCCCAGTAAATCTAACATATCTGTCACTAACTATGGTAGAGGGATGGCCGTTGTCCCAATGAAAACCTTCAAAACTAGATCAGCTGTTGGAGTTTTGCTTGCAAACAGTAAGAACATGGATAGTCAAATATTCATGGTGGGGGATCACCTGTTTTCTCATTGAAGCAGCTTTCACGAAAGTCTTCTTACCTCACATGCGCATGCTCAACCTTAAGTACGAAGGGATAAGGTAGCCTGAGTAGGACTCTCATTCATGATCTGCCCTGCATGGCCTACTTCAAGGAACATAAGCTATACTGTGAAGCACCATAATTCTCTTTGCTGCAAAGCAAGAAAACACTGCCCCTTCCCTCAAATACGAATTATAGAAAAAGATGGAAGGAACAACAAGGAAAAGGGCATCCCCCTCGGCATTGTTGCTGCAGTAGGAGCAGGAATTGGGAAAACTCTCTCTCTTAACACAGACTGAGAACACTGCTGAATTCTGAAGTTCTGCCGATGGAATGGATGCCTTGCTGAGATTCCCGCATTCTGCTGAGTTTTCTAAGTCTGTATGTGTGCGTGCTTGTTGACCTGCGTGCCTGTCTGAGTGTGTATGACCCGCAAGGGTACTTGCTTGTTTGGCAGTCCCGTAGGACCGGTACTTACCTGTGGCCGTGGCATTGAGGGTTGCAGCAGGGAAAACACCCGAGTAGCGGAGCCGGGGGCCCAAAGTGCTTAGAGCAGCGGAAGAACACTCAAGTAGCAGGTAGGCCGGTACCGCACCCAGTCGCAGTAGATGTGTCGGGTACTCGAGGCCGAGCAGAACAAGACAAAGTTGGCATTTTTAGAGGCCCAGTAGCGGTAGGCTAGGTCTAGGCCGGTACCAGTCCATCCACTCTGAGTCTAGAGCCTGTACGGGCAATATCAGAGCCTGCAATGATGTTTCCCTCCGAAAGGGAGGAGGTACCTGTTGTTTGGGAGGCCGAGCGGCCTGGAAGTCACCGCCCAGGAGGCAAGCAGGCCGCTATATCAAGAGCCCGAGGGAAGAGCTCGGCCTCATTCTTGGGTGTGCAAGTTTCGCGACATGCTGCTGGAGCGCTGGCTGGAGTAGCGCTGGGTACTACAACGCTGCTGGGAGGAAGAAGCCGGGAGCTTCCACCTTGGCTATGGTGGAGCTCTACCCGTAGGAGGAGGAGGGAGAAGGGGACCAAGGAGGGGAGTGGCGAGGTACCTACCTCGCTACGGTGGACACCATCTTCATCACCTTGTCAGGCGCTGCATCTGGAAGGCCCCAGTTGGGGTAGTGCCGCATCAAGGAAGCTTGGGGCAGAGTCCGGCATGGCGGTTGAGTGGGCAGCGGTATAGCTGCCTGTTGTTGACCTTGGGACAAGAGAGCAGCGACATAGCTGCTTTGGGTTGTCCTTTGGACAGGAGGGTAGAGCCCTCAGTGCTCCGCCATAGCCTTGGTCTTCATGGCCTGTATGAAGAGGAAGAGGAAGGGTGGCCATGGCTATGGTGGACCTCATGTTGTGCCTGCAGTAGAAGTGGGATTCGGACATTGATTCTGGTTCAGCCATTCAACATTATTATTGTTATTTCTTGTTTGAAGAAGAAGGGAGGAGATAAGGAGGAGGAGATTGGTTGGCGAAGAAGAAGAGCCTTGTCATTGGTCTAAGCTGAAGTACATCATCTTCTTCTTCTTTCTTACTTCTTCTTCTTTCCCTCTCTCTCCTCTCAAGTTCACTCATTTCTTTTTGCAATTGAACGGCATTGTACTTTCTTATGAATGTATACTTCGAAATTGGCCAGGATCGTAACATCTCTCTCTCTCTCTCTCTCTGACGAAGAAAAATCATCATCTAAGAACAAAGGAAGAAGCAGCAGGAGGGCAGAAGAACTGGCAAGAATCACACAAGGCCCAGTAGCGCACAGAACAATCGGTGATCTGGGCCATTCACCCGACAGAAGCCCAGATTGGGAGCTGATCGTTATAATTTAAAAGTTGTTTCCATTGCAAGCACAACATATTGTTTTTTCGGAATTTTTTCCTGAATATCTTCAATTTCCAAAATTCTTGTTTTCTTTGCACTGGGGTTTCCTGGGACCCTGCCCAGGGGTCCTGCCTGGACGACCAGCTCCACCACAAAACATCTCTTTCCTTTTCGTACAGGAAGTCGCAGAGCGGCACAGAGTGAAGCAGTTCCTTAAAGCCAAGAGCTCATCGACCATCCCTGTTTGCACAATAATTCTGCAAAACCTAGAGAACGACAACAGTTCTTGCTAATGAAGTCTTGCCTGGCTTCCGTATTTGGCGTTATCGAATTTGCACTCCGACATGGGATAGTATGGGGCCAAGAGATGAAATAGGAGGAAAATGAAGTCAAGGCCTGAACCGAAGTAGTAGAGAATCTACAGATGCAGCTTAGAGAGGCATTCAAGCAACTGCAGTGTTCAACCTCCTGCAACCTTTTTTTTTTAATTAAAAAAAAGAGAACTTCATACCCACTGTACTTGCCTTACATAGAAGTCAATGATGGTATCATTCAAAAACTCTTGAGGCCCAAGACGTTTCAAGTCATCATGCCGGATCTCCACAGAATCTGGATCAGACCTGCCCAGCAGAGTGATGTGAGAGAATGTTACATGAAACTTGACGAAAGCAAGAGCAAAAATTTCAACAAGCCAAACATATGGCATCATGCTTTCGCCATGAAGAAGGCTCACTTTCAGCAGCTTAGACCAAGCACAGTGCTCAGTTGTTGACTACTGTCTCATACCTCTCAAACATTATTAAAAACACATCCATTTCATCAAATCCATTCACAATTTCACATATATTTGAGAAATTTTCAGAAACGGAACCATACAGACAAGACACAAGCATACACTTTGGTTTATTTTTGATTGCGTAAGTAGTACGATTTGCAATTACTTATAGAGCATTTCAGACAGAAGAAGAGAATACATGCATTATGCTGGAGCTGTTGTCGAAGGAGGACGATCATGCGCAAAGTAAGATCACGACTGATTACATGAACTAGCAACGAACAAAAGAAAACTCATCCTCCTCACTGTGCGTAGAGCAATCGATGAATTCAATGCCACTGTGCCTCACAACAATTCGTGAGCATGACATGAAAAACAGCAGTTTTTAACATGACAAAAGAGGGGTGCTCCATGTATCACATGCAGATTCCACCTCATCAGAAGAGGCTACAAGCCTTCCTGAGAGAATCTCAGACAGACAATAGGTCCTTCGAGAATGACGCACTGGCCCACTGTGCAGGACACCAATCGCCCACTGAACTTTTCCCACACAAGCATTTGTGGTGCCGGATGGCACTGGGGTACACTTCTCATGGGGCAAAACGACTTTTGACATGCGCTTAGCTTCAACTCAAGCATGCGCTTCAAATCAAGCATGCCTTAGCTTACGCCCACATGATGGTTACAGAGACTCAGGGTGGAGGTTGATGTGCTCCTATTGGTGCTACAAGCTAGCACTGAATCAGTGCAAAAGTCTCCCCTGTATGTGGAAAGGCAAGGTCGTCACTTGATGTCAAGGTAAATGCTGACTGACTGGCAACTGCCATCAAACGATGACCTTGGCATCCAGTGCTAGCCTGTAGCGCTAATGGAGCACCCCAACCTCCACCCAGAAGCTAAGGCAAGCTTGAGCCTTCGGAGGCGAGGCTTTGCTGATCAGTTCTTCGACTCCAGGCTGCAACTCTTCTCTGAACTCAAGGATGGCGCATGGGATGAATGGGCCCTGATACTCCGTCAAGATAAGGCACAGGACTAGAAAATACGACAGGATCCGCATGAGGTGAGGACCGGCTTCAGTCTCGGCCGTGCGCTGAGCCGCGAATGGAGAAAAGGCTGGGCTAGACTGGACCAACACAGCACACCTTCGAGTGCACACAACTAGAACATGCGTCACAATGACTGTTGGAGAAACTCAGTTTTGCTCGAACCAGGTGTAGGCCTGCCTAGGAGAATGGACCCAGGGGTGTGGTCAGTAAATCAAAATTGGCCGTAGTGTAAATTGACCACTAGGAAAATTACCTTAAAGAATTGCTGCCATCGTTGCTGTAAACGCGACAACAGTTGCCCTCATCACAGTTGAACAGCACAAGTCTACAGTTTCTCCGATTTTGCCTGCCTTACAGGCAGGAAGAAGGGATAATTGCTCGAATGGTATAATAAATAGACTTGAGAATGTGACAAAGATGAAAGGAAAAAATCGTTGTTTAACTGCTGGTACACCACTTGTTTGTTCATTGCCTAAGTTTACAACGTTCTATAAAGCTAACGTCTTCACCCGAAAAGAGCGCCCGGTCTTTATTGCGGTATCTAGACTGAAAGTTGCCTCCAATACAGGTATAATGACCGGGCGTTCTATTCGGGTGAAGACAGTAGCAATTATCATCGATCGATCTCCGTGCCTCCCTGTTGTTAAACAGAACCATGACGGATGGAATGGATGGTAGGGGCTACCCCCTTCGAAGAAACAACCAAAAAAAGTTATGGAATAATTGCTGGGCGCTAAACCTCACAAAGGATGTCTCTTCACAAAGGATACATTCTCAAGATAAGCCACACGTGAGAACATAACCACATAACCTGAAGTTAACCTAAAGTTATGAGGAGAAACGTGATCTACAAGCAGTATCCTAGAATACTGCCAACAAGGTCTAGAGTTCAAGAGCAGAGCAGCAGAGGAGCAACCACAAAAGCTGAAGTTATTGGGACAAAAGTGAGAGTTGATAAAGAAAAGCAGCACCCAAAAACAAGGCCAAACAAGGGGCAAATGATTCAAGAGTTGAGCTGCAGAAGAGCGACAGCCTATCAGTACAAGATCTTTTGCTGTAGGGGAATTGAGCTTGACATGGTTTCACCTATGGTTTGCACCAATTAGAAGTGACCCAGCAATGGAATAGGAACCAGACTGTTACTCTCACAAACACACAACCTCACATCCGAGAGTAACATTAAGAGAAACGGTTGGGGGCATCTTGAAACGGTTTTCACCTTAGCAGTAGCAGATGCAGATCCCAGGGCTCGATCCCTAGACCTTACCACACCCGAATACAGTATCGAGTGGACCTCTATGTGTTTGAACCATACTTGCGGCGCACGTCGTGCGCGGCACTTGCGCACGTGCAGCGCAGGCCGCAGCGCGCAAGTGGCGTCCACACGACATGCGGCGCATGGTCGAAATTGCAGGGTACCAAAAAAACATTTTTTTGGTCGGTTCGGTTTTCGGGGTTCGGGAGGGTCCTGGGAAAATTACGAAAACGGGCGCGAAATTTTTTTTGGAGGCCGCGCGAAGGCCCGTACTTCTTTTTTTTTTTTGAACAGTCTGAACCTGATTCGAAGTCTGGGGGGGGGAAATCGGTTCTTTAATTCTGTTGTTGGACTGTCCCCCCAGCCCGCCGTTTTTCCTGGAATTTTGTTTTTAATAAAAAGAAAAAAATGTAAGGGAAGAAAATCAGAATTACTTTGCATGAGTGTCGCCCGGCGCGTCCAACCTGTCACAACCTCAACGGTAAGTGCAGTCTGTATGGTAGGGTTCTTGCAGGCCAGATTCAGTCATGATGAGGGTCGCGATCTTTCAAAACGATCTCTTCTTATTACGTCTGAAGTAGAAAACGACGGAACTGACAGCCGTTTTTCCTGGAATTTGTTTTTTTAATAAAAAGAAAATAACTTAAAGGAAGAACATCAGAAATTCTTTGCACGAGTGAAGCCCGGAACCTCAACGTAATGTTCACCAACGGGCTCGCTGCACAACTCTCAACATGCACAACAAGACAAAAATATTGACGGTGTATCTTTCCATATTCTAGCGCGAGATTCACTCTCGTTTTGCACATTTCCAGAGTAGTGCAGCGAGGCCCATATATGGCAATGTATCTTTCCATGTTCAAGCGGAAGATTCAGTCTCATTTGTTCAGAGATTCTCCAAAAAAAAAAAAAAAAAAGGTTCATACGTTACGTGCTTACCTGATTCATCAATGTATCTTTCCA